CCAGTGAAGATTACATCAATTTCATTTAGTTTACCATGAAACCACGTGTCTCCCCTTTCCAATGATATGTCCTTTGTTCATATCTGATCGGGGACCCCTGAAAAGTCATTGTTTTTTCACACATGGGTGAAAACACCTTTGTGCCAAGTTATGAAATACCAACTGATTCTTATTGTGCAATCAGGTAAATCATTATGTAATTGGTACTGGAGATTAAATTCTTGTCACAAGATTTACATAACACAAGTTTCTGATTTAGATTTATTCAGAAAAAAGTAAAAGAAAATTTAACTTTAAGTCGGGCTTTAAGTGTTCATCAGTATCCTTGATGGTTCAGTTAACGAAACATATGGAAAAAGAAGTGGCATAAACAGTCATTGTCTGTCATCTTATGAAAGATTACATTCCATGCCCTTTCACATGATCCCTATTTCTCTACACACAGAGACTGGCTTGTGTCTCCATGTCGCACACCCCTTTGAATCATCTGTGGGTTCTGATTGAGAGCAGCAACCTCATTCGTGACTCTTTGTTAGCTGTTGCAATGTCTAAAATTTGGTCCAGAGCAGATGTTGGCTCGTGGCTCGAGACATGTGGCTTCCTGGTAAATTAAATCTAATTGATGTAATCATCACTGGTTTTGTGATTTTACAATCTTTGTTTGTTGCGTTTTTTTTGGGACGCACTGTAGTATATGTATTCGTTTTTGCGAATATAATTTAAATTCACTTATAGTTTGCTCTACTAAATAAGTGTATTCATATTCATTCATTTATATTATTAGTAATATTTACATGTATATTATTATTTTTTGTCAAAAATCAGAAATCATTGGAAGAAATAGAATTGTGCTCCTTTCCATTTGCACTGATAGGTTATCATTGCATGTCTCCTTACCAGCTAAATGAGTTTAAAGCCTACAATGAAGTGCAACAATATGCCCCATTACAGAGATTACATAATGCAAGGAAAGATCACAGTTGCCAGGTTGAACATTGAAAGTACATAAAACAATTATTTTAATGAGATAAGCATGTTAAGAGTCAATTTTTATTTAACAATGTATGTTTGTTTCCACATTAAAAAAAAGTCTAATATGAATACATGTATACTACGGCAAATAAATCTTGAAATTTATAAATCCAAATTGTTGAATATATTACACTATTCATTTACACAATTTAGATACAGGTATGCATAATTAAAAAGTGAGGTTAAACTACACTTTTTTAAGAGGACTTGTATGTGAACATGTAGAATTATGATTCCTTAGGGATTAATTCTTCCCATCATAGCATTTAATTGTCACATTGGGTACAATGCCAAGGGAAAACAGCTGTTGGATCCCTGAAAAATCATTTCATGTAACTTCATCTACAAGTTCACAAAAACACATGTGACTTAACCTCCCAAATCATGAAAGTTTAATATAGTCATTTGATTACACATGCTAATAGAGATTTTACATTTTGGCATGCCATCTCCTGATACCATGGTGAACTAAGGTCATGTGATCATTTATATCCATCAGGCATCATAAAATAGCACCTTGAAATTGTAAAATGTTAAGGAAGAAGGGGACCACCCCTTGCTCCCCCTCTGATGTCCCCCTCCAAAAACACAATTTTTCTCATTTTTGGAAAGGATTGGTATTGACATGGAGAACTGAATTCAACAATGATTTTCTCTTAAACCAATTATTGAAAACATTCTGTAAAACACATGGTCCTTATGTAATGTTGACTGATTGACAACAATTAAATGCAAAAACAATTTATATATATTCACGCCCGGTGATCGTGAATATGGGACGGAGGGGGGGAGCAGGCAATTTCTGCTAGGAAATTCAACAGATCTGGAAGATTTATTTTTTCAAGAAAAAGTTTACCATTGAATTGCTAAATGGATAGGCGCACGGTATGGTAGAATATGTTAGGTTTTCTGGGATTTTTTCTGAAACGATACGCATCTAAGGTATGAGATCTATTAAAAAAGGCGCAAGGCGATCAACGGGCACAAATCAACGTTTTTGCTATAAATCAAGCAACAATGGTCTGGACGACCTGTAATAAATACTTGTAAGTGATGTTATCATAACTAAATTAATGTCATTGCTGAATTTGTAAAATAAGTTTCCATATGTGAAATTGTATAAGACCAATGAATACTAATACTAATGTATAAGAACCAATAAGACCATACCAAATGTCCAAATAGAGGACCAATACCATACCGAAATTCCATATACTTGTATAAGGCCAAGACAAATCAAATTGTCTGAAGCCTCAAGAAAGTCAAAAGTCATAATTTAGGGGTCATTTTCACACCAGATCCTAAGATTCTGGACTAGTGCCATATCAAAGCCACCAAATGTAAAAAAGGCACTTAACACAAGCCGAGGATCCCTGTCGTGGTTTATATACAGTAAACCCTCAGGAAAAATAACCAGTTTATTCATTAGTTACCAGAGTATAGTAGCAAAAACTGCACCTTCTTTGAAGAAAAGTGATTGAAATAAAGAAATGAAACTACTGTATCTGAAACAATTCAGTCATATTGCATTGGTATCTGTAGTTTGGTATCGGACAACAGTCACATTCATATACAAGCATTTAGAAATAAGTATGTAGTATCTGCACAGTGTGTATTCATATGTACTGCTTCATAAAATGTAAAGAATCCCAAACTACCCTTTTGAATGAAAATAAACTCTTCCAATAATGACAGGACCTTAGTGCACCCATGCCATCGCAACCTTAACACAAATAAAGCATTGCATCATATTTAATTGATTGTGTGAGTAACTTCCATGGTTTTTTGTTCCTTTTTTTCATCTAAACTTATGTCCCTTTACATACTGATTAATCCACCATTTCTATAAAACATACATCTCATATTTTAAACAATACAAATCATTATTCTTTGCAAACTCCCTTTGCCATTTTTGGGACTTTCAATACGGAATACTCAAATCTCAAATTCTTAGTCTGATCCAAACAGTTATCACTATTTTCACTTACATGTACGAGGGGGATTCATAAGTAGTGGGACAAAAGCTATAACTTCTCTTATATCAACCAGATTTTATTCAAACTTGGAACACAGAACCACAAACATGTGATAATTATTGTGTGAAAATTTCAAACAGTTACACCCAACTTCAGTAAAGTGAGAGTTCCAATCATGACGTCACAACAGGGTCCAAGGAACACATTGTTTGTCACTAATTGCTAGTTAAATATACAAGTCTCAACTGATATTCAGGACGTGATCTAATCCGTGACTTCTAGCGAGCCCTTTTGTGGAGCACATCAATTTTGTGCAAGACTATTGATTCCTTATCCTTCTGGTGCAATCTCACTCTTTCTCAAAGTATTCACCATGACAATCAATGCATTTTTGGCATCTCCTCAACCATTCTAGGTATGCACCCTCAAAACCATATTTTCCAAGATTGGTCATCTCGGCTCTCACAGCATATTTAGAATACATATACAGAATACCACCTATATACTGTAGATTTTTTTTACTTCTTCTTTCCCATAGACTTCCAACAAACCTCTAGAGGTCTCTTATACTGAAAATTCTTTAAAGCATTAAATTTAATCACAGCACGGATGTTTATACATGATTCTTGCTTTTTCATTGCTATTTTAATCAAATTTTGCTCAATCCAAGGACTGAAAATGGCAGTGTCCTGGTGTCACTGCTTTGTGTGACATCACAATAGCACGATGATGTAATATATGTTACAGTTGTCATGACTACAAAGCTTGAGACAATATGAAACCAAATATTTGAAAATAACTGTCATTTTGAGATATTTATGAGCATATTTATGTTGATCAAGCCCTTCATTTTTTAACTGCTCCGTTAACCCTACTTTTGGTTACCATAGGAACCGTTGTTGCTAGGGAACAAAATGAATTAAATTAAAATTTCATCAAACAATGCCTTACATCCTAGTCCGTTAATGTGCTAAATTTGGTTGAGATAGTACACAGGGACTTGCTGCCTCAGAAAAGTCCCACTACTTATGAATCCCCCCATACATACCAATATACCAGAATAAAGTTCTTGAAAAGTACTCTAAATCAATCAGTCAATCTGGCTGTTTGGATTTTCAAAATGTTTTTACTTGTCCTATTTACGTTAATAACAGTATCTCAAGAGTATAGGTGTTCGAAATAGTGTCCATTGTGGTCTATACACCTCTGCTGTCTTGCTTACCATTCCTCAGATATATGGGGGAACCCTTTTGGAAAATCTATCGCGATTGATCTCTTGTATGGATGGCTTTTATCAACATCATCTGATGCTCACTGGATTTCGTTCTTGGACGGCCTGATCTAGCATTGTTCTTAGCATTTGTTCTACCATCAGTATAAATCTCTTAGTCCATTTTGTAAATGGTTCTTTTGGCCATAGCCTGCTTCCAAAACACCTTATGACTATCATCAAGTGTTTGTTTTCTTGAATTTCCCAGTAAAACATACATCCCAATGCTACTGATTTGTAATTGCATCATCATATTTTGCTGATTTAGCAGCAATTTCCACAAAAATAAAATTGACACTACCTTTCACAAAGTCCGATGTCATCAACCAATATAGGTCACTATGATACCATGAGTGATGTCATGAATCAAAGAAATTTCAACTATGATGTCATCATATGACATCTTAGTGTTGACATGGCAACATTGGTTTGTTTTGTATTTTCAAGGATACTTTAAAGTATGTTAAAGTTACCTCTAACCCATATTTTTTATCTAAATTTTTCTGTTTTTCAATGCTGCTCCGCCTACCCCCGACTCGTGTTACTCTAGCAATGAATCATAACTATCTTTTCTTCAAGGACATATTCATTATTATTCAAGATTCAAATGTATGAATAGTGTAGGTATACTGAGTGAAAATTTCAGCCAGATTGATTGAGAAACAAAAAAATTAGAGTACTTTTGCAGGGACTTTATTTCAAACAGCTATCACTAATTCACTTACATGTATTTCAAACAATTTTCACTGTTTTCATACTGTTATCACTATTTTCACTGTTTTGATACTGTTATCACTATTTTCACTGTTTTGATACTGTTATCACTATTTTCACTTATTTCATTCTGTTATCACTATTTTCACTTATTTCCGTGCTGTGAGCCTCACTCTGATACCTGAGTCAGGTCTCAAAATTAGCTCTCCCAATGGTCGAATTTCATCTCGGCGTTGTACGGATTTTATGGAATAGTTTCGTAGAAGGGAGGACAGAATAACTTTCTCCTCCATCATGGCAAACTTTTGTCCTGCAAATATAGCGGTACAGCAGTGATGAGTAGTTTCTATGACAACCATACACCCACCATGTATACAGCAATTTTAATCAATATTTTTGCAGAAGATGCGGCCCATTATTAGTTATTCAGCAAAGTTTGTATTAAAACAGAATAAAATTGACAATTTTATGATAATACAGGCATTATTTATTGAACAGCCCTCATATATGTACAAGTGTACATTTATTGAACAGCCCTCATATATGAATGAAGTGTTAAACCTGTTTCCACATTTTGAAATATCCCATTAACTTGATAGAATTTCATGTGTTGATTAAGACATCTCAATGTGAACACTTTAAGCAGACCCTAGCAGTGTTCACTTTAGTTCAACAAGTTAAACCTAGTCTGGGCCTTATTTCTTATCTGACATATCTTGTGGCCTGCCCTAGGTAGGTTTAACGCCGTGCCTATTCGGCCCTTGATGCAAAATTTTTTAATGGTGGCCTATTTATAACTGATAGTGGGCATTTGCAACCAATGAAAGCATAGCTCGGAAGTTAAACCCAACCACGGCAACAAGAACACTCAGATAAATAAATGAAAGCCATGGTATTGGGTTTAACTTGTTGAACTATGTTCACTTGAGAAAGGCTTCAAAGTATAACAACTGAAACGTCACCAAGCTTTTTTCTATAAGTATTTTTAAACAAATTATCTCATATGATATAAGTTTAATACAAGTTTAATAAATGTGTTTACTTTTTCAAAAAGAAATTTTGATCGTACTCATGGGATAAGCCCAAAAATCAAATCATTTCTTGTGATATCATTTTATTGCCTCATAGATGTCAAATATCGACACTCATTTCTAAGCTTCGCTCACTCGTGTTGATATTTGATTAACTCCTCAATAAAAACCAGAATAACGGCAACGCCAAAGCGTAGCGAATCCCATCGAACAGAAATGGCTGGCATTTTTACATTTGAAATATATAGCAAATATCATAAAATAACACCCATAAGAAAGGCCACCATTTTCAAAATGGTTGATCACTAGCCAAGTTGTCATCAGAAGAAGTAATATGCTTTTAAGTAGCCACTTGTTTATCTCTTCTAAAACAACTCGTATTGAATCGTATTGTATTACATCAATGAAATTCGTGAGCTAATTAGGATTCTATTTTTGCTAACACAAATTCATGGAATAGAGGCTTTTCCATATACATAGCTTTAAAATCTCGTTAAAGTCTTGTTTTTAATGAGATTTCAGGAGATCTGCATTTTTACCCACTGAAGACTATCATTTTTCTTCTATTTGATGGCATATTTGAATTATGTGTGTAATTTCCTATCAAAACAACTTTAATTTGCACTGTAATTTACCTTCATTCAAATTCTATAGATTTTCAAGTTTTCTAAAAACGGTCGGGCTAAATCCAATTGACACAATGTTGAAAAACCTTTAAAAGTTCATTATATAAGGATCACAATTTTAATGTGAAATCACATTCCACATGTCAATAATGACATATAGTTACATTCCAATGTTGTTTTTAGTTGAAACAAATGGAATTACTAGTTAAATCAAGAAATTAAGTGAATCTTGCTATTAAGTTGCCATGTTATTTAGCCCTACCAATACCCATGATGCCATCTATTTTTCCATCTATATGGAAAAGGGTCAGTTGAAAAGTAATGTTATCTTTACATCTATGTGGTGATGTAGGACTATGAGTTTACTGTTCTTACCAATGCAGTTTCTCATCCCAGCAGAGAAGGGAACATAAGCGTAAGGATGTCGCCCATTTGCATTTTCCGGTGTGAATCTCTCTGGGTCAAATTTCTCTGGGTCTGGGAAATATTTGGGGTCACGATGTAACGCACTTGTCACAATCACTGCTGTTGTGTCCTTGGGCACAATCTTGCCATCTTTAATAACAAATAGATATACTATCACAAAAAGAGGTCAGAGTAGGGTCAAAAATGATTTGTGAAACTTTATTTATTAAATACTGAATTTAAACTATGACCCCCTTAATATCAAGACAATATTGTTCATAAACAAAATTTGTTTTATAGAATTTAATAGTTTCCTAAAGATTGAAAAACTGATATTTGACCATTAGCGCATAAAACAGGTATCATGAAAGCACTTAGATTTACATGTACAAAATGTACTACATTATCTATGTTGATCATAAAAACGCAATATAAGACAAAAAATAAAAAATAGTAAAAATATTATAATGGCTATGTAGTTGAGATGGAACTATTCCCATATATGTGACTTGATGGAATCCAAAGATTTATCAATTTGCTTACCAATTTCAATGTCTTCAGTTATTGTCCTGGCAAACATTGGCACTGATGGGAACAAACGGAGCGACTCCTGTAAGAAAATATACTGGACATCATGCATATACTCCAGGAGACACTGTTAGCTAATAGTATGAAACATTTGACATCATACATTGGCACAACATGCACTTGGACATATGTACACATGCACTCAAACATATGGAATAATTCTTGTGAAGTACAATGTTGAATAAAGATATAAGGTGAGCTTAGGAGATTGAGTAATCTGAACCTAAAGATACTGTATGCTTTATAGCTCACACAAAACCCAAATAGGCTTAACATTTGTCCCATTTGTCCAAACTGATATCAGTGCCAAAGCTTACAGCATGTTATAGTAATTAATCTTTTAATAATTGTTTGGGCACAGTAATTACTTTCATATTTAGTCAATCACTAAAATCACTACATTGGTCAATATAGCCCAGTGTTGTCAAGCAAGTACGGCAAACATACCTTGATGCAGTATTCCAAATACTTCATTTTAGTCAGGTCATCCTTTGAAGGCATTCTTTCACTTTCACCTGTAGAAAAAAAAACTATGTCAATAAATACACTTCATAAGAGATAAGTATTAAGATCTGATCCAGATTTGTCTCAATCACTGCTCCGGCCAAATAAAAATAATAAAACAACAGATGACACTGTAGAGACTATCACTATAAAGGACACACAGCCTTCTAGCAATGGTCTGAATACAACCCCCTCCCAGCCAACAACAGGTGATTTACACATGACAGAAACAGAAAGACACAACCGAGCCACCATCCCCACCCAAGTTTTGTGTCACTGTGCAAAGGCTCCTACTATATCATATGAAGGAGAATACAAAAAACTCAGAAGTAAAATCATCAAACAAGCTGCCAAAATAGATGATCTCCTACAGCGTATAGAAGTAAATGAACTTCAGAGGAACGATGAAGCAGAAGCACAACAGTTACTGCTTGACAGTAGAGTCAGAGACCTTGACAATGAACTCTCAATGGTTGGAAATGAGCCTATGATCAAAGAAAAGGAATTCTCTGGATTACAGGCTGATCTCAAAACAACCTTTAACAAAAAGCTTGTGTTAATGGCAAAGCTGGAGAAACATGAAAAACATAGACACAATGCATCCCTACAACAAAGCTTAACGTGGCTTATAACCCTGTTTATTTTTTCGTGAAGCCACTCAGTAAAATTACGATTTCTGTGCACCCTGATGTCCAATCAAGATCATTTGAGTATCTTTGTGTTCCTGAAACATTTGGACATCCTAGAATGACAATGTCTACACAATGTTTGCACGCTATATTTATGTAATTTATGACTGAAATCAGAAAGACAAAATTTGAGATACACAAACAAAATTGCTGGTGAAAACTATTTACAAAAGTGACCTTTTGTGGCTTTCTGACTTTAAAACAAACCTTACCTAAATAGATTTATGTCTCGGGAACACTTTTATAAATAGTTATTATAAGCAACCTTGAAAGAATATCACACCTTTTTGTTTTTTCCGATTTCACTCATAGATTACGTCAATATAGCGTGCAAACTTTGGGTATGTTGTCATTCCTGGATGCCCAAACATGTCAGGAACACATAGATATTTGAATGATCTTGATTGGACATCAGGGAACACAGATATTGTAATTTTACTGAGTGGCTTCATGGAAAAATAAACAAGGTTATATGCCACCTTAAATGAGAACTCTACTAAAACCACATCGAAACAACAATCAGCAACAAACAACAAAAAGCAATACCAGCACCCAAGAGACCCATAACACCTTCTTCAACTACATCAGCTGCTACTAAGGTGCAAGGGAAGGCATCATCACCACCTTGCTGGACTACACCATAGAGGTGATTCTAATTCTGATGATCAGATTTACCAGATGAACTGTATCATTGATCAGATTAACTGTGCAATGAAAGCATTTTGCCATCAACAACATGTCGGTTTCATTGACATCAACAAGATCAATAGATCAACTGCCAACCATCCAAACTTTAGTGTTCTCTTTAGAGAAAGATTGCATTTCAACTTTCGGGGTAGAGACAGCATGATGAATGCAATGATTTCAACCATGACGAATGGACTTTCAACAGCCTTGAGGACTTTTTCCTCAGTCCTAGCTGAAAGGGTAAACCCTCGCAATTCTCGATACATCCCCAAGTTTTAAACAGTGATCAGTGTGATTGCATCCATGATACTATTTTAGATACTATGACAACTTACTCCATTATATAATCCAAGCATGTTTTTGACTTTAATGGTCAACCTTTTGTAAATAATGTTCAACCTCAATATCTAAATAATGTTCAACCTTCTGTAAATGAGGTTCAATTGTGTGCTCATAATCAGAAATCTCATTCCTTAAAAACACGTTAATAATGTGCAGTCACTTAATGTTAATGAGCAATCACATGTTGATACAGTGCAATCATGTATTAGTAGATGCAATATGCAATCAGGTATAGAGTATACTAGTGTGAAAAGCAGCCAAGCAAGAAATGTTGATCAAAATAACTCTAAACCCAAAAAATGCTCATTGAACAGTTCATTGAAAAATCAAGGTTTAAGTTGTTTATTTTGGAATATCAATAGAATTTCAGACAAATTACATAATGACAATACTATAAATGAACTTTTCAGCAAATATGCAATTATATTTTTAAGTGAGACATGGTTGAATCCTGGTGAAACCCTGTCTTTTCCTGGTTACACTGTGCATAATCTAGCAAGGAAAAGTAAAAATTCTAATTCAAATGCATATTCGGGTGGTTTAGCTATTCTTATTAAAGACAATTTTTACAATAATGCAATTGAAGTATTAAAATAAACTCATGCTTTTTATGTTTGGATTAAAATCAAATCCTCATTTGTTAATCTGGAAAACTTTATTTGCTTCATTTGTATGGTTCACCTTATGAAAATTTTGACAATTTTGATGTTTTGGAAAAATCTATAGCTTTATATATGGCGATCTAGGCAGGTACCCATTGTCAGTCAAATTTGAGTGTTATATTATAAAATATTGGCTTAGACTTCTAACATTTCCAGAATCCAATGTATTAAACCAAGCCTATTTATAGTACTATGATAGAGATATTCAAGAGTTAGGATTCAAAAGTTGGTCTATGATATACTCAGAAAATGTGATTTATTGGATTATTGGAATGACCAAAATCTAAATACTGACAATCTAGTGAGCATGGTAGAAAAGAAGTTATTGAAGGTATTATTTGTAGAAAAATGGAAAAATGATTTGAACATTTATCCTATACTGAGAACGTATAAATTGTTCAAAAAATATTTTAGAATTGAATTATATTTGAAATTAGATAATAAAAAGTATAGGTTGGCGATAAGTAGATTTCGAATGAGTTCTCATCGATTGACGATTGAGACTGGAAGACATGCAAAGCCAAAACCAAAACCTAGAGAGGAAAGATTATGCAATACCTGTAAACATATAGAGGATGAATGTCATTTCCTTTTAACTTGTACAAAGAATGATGAGCATAGACAATTATTGTACACTAAGGCTCGTGAAATTCTAAGTAACTTTGACCTCAATAGTGAAAATGAGAAATTTTACAAGTAAATTTTCTATTAATTACAATACAAACCTATTCCATGACATATGCTAATACCCCTAATTTGGAAAAATGGGCAAGTCCAAAAACAACAGGATAACCTGAATCCCTCTAGGTCAACTGACCTAACACCCCTTTATATGCTATATCTTCATAATTGTACGCAGTAAAACTTAAAAATACTGCGGGGAGGCCGGGTGGGCCTATGGTCATGGAATAGGTTTGTATTGTAATTAATAGAAAATTTACTTGTAAAATTTCTCAATTACATACAATCCAACCTATTCCATGACATATGCTGAATTAAAAGTAAAGGAGGTGGGACCCCGATTAAGCCCAAAAGTATAATAAATATATATACACAAGTACTTATAATAAAAGTAAAATTCATATTACCAACAAGTACTCTGATCTCACAAACCATAGTGATCCCTAGTAGAACAGCCACCATCATCCATTGTAAGGCAGAGGCTGTGACACATCTGTAACACTGTTATTGTCCTATCATAGTGAGCAGTCTTAGCCATCTAAGGGTAATGACCAACTCCTATGAATAGAGACTGGTTAACCAAGGATGGGCCGTTTAACCAAACGAGGCAACCTTGCAGTTCTTCAAGGGTCCAGGTCACAAGCTAGTTGAGTTGAACCCTTCTGCAAAACAGTTCAGCTACACATCTGGGAGACTGTATGTCCTTTCACAGTGAGTATCCTTACCCATCTAAGGGTTGCGAATAACTCCTATGAATAGAACTGGTTAGCCAAGGATGGGCCGTTTAACCAAACGAGGCAACCTTGTAGTTCTTCAAAGGTTCAGGTCACAAGCTGGTTGAGTTGAACCCTTCTGCAAAACAGTTCCGCTTACACAAGAACTGGATAGACAAGGAATGGCTGTGTACAAAATAAAGACAACCCAAGTCCACCCAGTATTACTTCCAATCACCAGACTACAGTGCAATACTGCGTTGGTAACAAGTTGCAGAGTACTTAAAGTTGTATAAAGTTCTTGAAGTTGTAGACCCACCTGCAGCTTGGATGAGATATACTTGAGATAATCCAAGCCATTGTTGTAGTTCTTGTCAGTGTAGACAAAGGCAACATCCTTTCATCCATTGGAATTCTAGGAAGCTGCCGATAAATCAACTACCATACTTCACAGCACAGGGTCCTAAAGGAACCAGTCTTGCATACAAAGTGAGGTGGTGCACACAACATTTTGTCTAGTCTCTGCTCTCAGAGTTGGATGTTAGTTGACTAAACATCAAGTCTGGACCAGCGATAATCATAAAGCCGTTTCAGCCAACTTGTAGAATGGTTTACCGACATAGAACAATACCACTACACATCTGCTAAGTGCTTCTTGTCTTTTGGATCCATAACAAAGTTACATGGAGCAAGACACCTCCGTAGACCCAGCCAGTCGAGGTTGGTACAGCCACCAGATAACTACAGGGATAAGTCAAACCATCTTCTTTGTAGTACCAATTAGTATTCATCATAGAACAGATCAACCATTACTGCTGACCTGGGCAAGAAGAGACATCTTCCATCTGGCCAAAAGAAGTTCTTCAATGGACAAACTAGTGCATCTAGACAGTCTATCCATCTGTATAAAACTGTAACACAGCTTCCCTAGTAGACACAGTGGCACATCAAGCACAAAGTAGAACAGCATACATGTCCATACTTATCTATAAAGGATTAGTATGGAGATGAATCTAAAGGTGGTTGGAAACAAGCTTGCATTTGTTGGTAAACTTGGTAGACATCTTTAAGAAGATGAGGATATCACTGTTATGATTGTCTATAGTGCCAACAGAGCATAACAGAAAATATTCTACTGCCATCAAAGCACTGCTAAGTGTTGTTCCCACAAAGAGCTTGGCTTGGAATGCAACCTTCAATTGTTGTATTCGGCATTGTAGTTGATAACTATTGGATT